GGTCCTCCCACTGGCCAACAGGTTTGATATCCTGGATTTTAAAGTCTCTAGTCCGACCTAGTTCGTGTCATCCCGAGGCCGCTTAGGCTGAGCCAGGGGAACAGTGAGCCCGAGTGACTGCCTGGTATTAGGTATTAGGTATTAACACCTGCGAAGCTCACCAAGGTGGTTGACTGTCTGATGGTCTGAGTGCGCCAACTCCTTTCTTTTGATCGTTGGACACTTACCCCTGAAATTACAAAAATAGTAAAAATTGTACGCCTATTGAAGCAAATTGCAACATTTCTGATTAGTTTCTGTGACAAACTGTGAGGCAGCCCAATCATAATGAAAGTGGCCTCATCGTTTTGTTGGAGCAGATGCTCGGTTTATGCTAAAGAAAGTAAGTGAGTTTCATTTAGCTGGTAGTATGGAGAGACCTTATATTTGACAGGATGATGGAGCTGAAAAGATCATCTCCTCAGCTGTTGTGTACCTCTTCCTTGGTATGATGTCCAATGGGAGGACAGCAGCTGATTTGCTGTTGCAAAAGGAGGAGAACTGGAGGAGGAGCAGGTCTGAGTCTAGAAAATGACGCAGATGGTCTTCAAGTAATTTTGCCTAAGTAAGACAAAAGAAAGAACACAACTCGACAGGATGACACGGAGACAGCACAGACTGCAGTGGCGTAGAGCCCCATAGAAGCTGAGCTGCAGCAGGTCGCAGAGTTTTAAAACTGTTTTCACTAAAAAGTGAACTCTATTTAGAGAAATGTGTAAAAGTGCAACAGAAAGAGCCAAGAGTTCAGCTGAGGACAGAAAAGACTCGAAAACACAAAGACTGAAATAAATCTGCCACTGTGTGTTATTGTGTGTGTGTGTGTTAGCATGCTAACAGCCTCTAATGAGGTTTCTGTATTCACTTCAGTTGGACAGATGAATCAGCTGAACAACAGAAACTTTCTGAAAACAAACTCAGTCTCAGCTACTGTGTTCAAATAAACTTTACAAAGCTTCAAGAAAATATTCACAACACACACATAAAACAGCAAATACATCAGATTAATCAGAACATATACAAGTTAAATAGTTAGAATACATCCTATATGAATGCATGTTTTATGCATTCATATAGGAACCAAGAACCTGGTCTCTGGACGAGGTTGCTGACGTACTGCGGTAAGCGTGTCGACTCATTTCTGTTTCCGGTGCTTGTGTGTTGGTACCATGTTGTGCTGCTCTCGCTAAATACCAGTTACGTTTGTTAGATTACAGCAGCCAACTGTCTGCTAAACACTTATTCTTACAGTAATTTTGCCAAAGCACTCACAGTTCTTTCCATCTTTTAGTGACTGCTGTTCAATCTTATAGTTGTTCTAAAGTTTTGGTAGCTGATGCTACAGTACTTTAGCTTAGCCGTTAGCAACTTTAGCTTAGCAGCTAGCGATGGCTTCTCCTTCTACCTCTCTCTCTCCTCTACCTACTCCTCTGCCTCCTTTAGCGGTAATGGTACGTGTAATAAGTGTAGTTTATTTATAGACATGGAGGTGAGGCTCAGTGATTTAGAAGTCCGGCTCCGCACCTTGGTAGATCAGTCTTTAGCTACTGTAGCTAGCCAGTCCCCAGTAGTCGGTGCGGAATGGCCTGAGTTAGCCTCTGGTAGCCGTCCCCCGGGATTTCCTGAGCAGCCAGGAAGGGGAGGCTGGGTGACTGTCCGAAGGAGGAATAGTCGTAAGCATTCAAAGTCCACGGGGCATCATCAACCTGTTCACGTCTCTAACAGATTTTCCCCACTCAGCGACACACCCGCTGAGAAACCAACTCTGATCATTGGCAGCTCCATTTTGAGAAACGTGAAGTTAGCGAAGCCAGCGGCCATAGTTAAGTGCATCCCTGGGGCCAGAGCGGGCGACATTGAGTCTTATTTGAAACTGCTGGCTAAGGATAAACGTAAATACAGTAAGATTGTTATTCACGTCGGCGGTAATGACTCCCGGTTACGCCAATCGGAGGTCACTAAGATTAATGTTGAGTCGGTGTGTACATATGCAAAAACAATGTCGGACACCGTAGTTTTCTCTGGACCCCTGCCAAATCTGACCAGTGATGACATGTATAGCCGTATGTCGTCATTCTGTCGCGGTGGTGTCCAGCAAACGATGTGGGCTTTGTAGATCATTGGCAGACTTTCTGGGGAAGACCTGCTCTGATTCAGAGAGACGGCATCCAGAGAACGGAATGGAAACTGGGAGAAGAACAAACCAGAACATTCCAGAACAGTGACGCATGTTTTTGGGTCATTTTGGGATCAGTATGCTTGTTAGTTAACACTTCTTGGTGCATGCTAGTTTTCAGAACATTTCTAACAAATTATGCTTTTAAGAAAAGATGGATGGATGGGGACAAAAAAACATTTAAAAAGTGATGGGGACATGTCAGACGTCCTCAACCTGGTTATGGCTGAAACTACAGGTGGCGTAATGCAGCAGCACTGTTATTTGGGCTGGGTAACGACATTGCAGTGTTAGTGATGAATGTTTGGGAGGGTGTCAGGACCCCCCACAGAAGATAGTTGATAAGTGAAATGTGGTGGTCTTCCACAGATGCTGCACTGAATAAGATATTCAGATAATTTGCAAAGCCAGCCAATGCTTTGTATGTGGCCCTGATTAAGACGGTGTTCAGGGGCCCACATTTTAAACTAGCTGTGAGTAAAGGTACAAAATATGTGGCTGATTTGACTGCATTTTGCATTGACCTCGCCCATGTCAAAGTGCCTTCAAACCAGCAGGCGAGATCTCGTGGGCGCTCATCGGATGGTAACAGAAACACACCAGCAACTGTGAAAGACGCCACAGACAATTTTGTGAACTGGGCAAACACAAGGTTCCAGAGTGAGGAATCTGAAATGGAAGGGCCGGCTGCATTGCCAGAAAAAAGCAGCAAGAAAAGCTATACCAGGGGAGTCTGGTGATGCAGCACGCACAGCTACAGAACGATTCTATGGAACCAATGTCCACAACGTCATTCTCGATACAGCGTCAGAACGTTTGCACCGCTGGTTCCTGCAGGGCGGGACTTGACTGAATTTTCCACTGATAAAAGCCAATGGACTTCCCCCAAATGCACTACAGAACATGAGGAAATGCCTGCTTAAATTTGATGAAGATGCAACAGTTGAGCGTTGTCAAACCTCGTCATACACTGGAAAAGTGTCCACTCCGTGAATACACAGCCACAGCCTGTTGCCTCAGAGATGGAGAAAGATCAAACTGATCTTGGTGAAATGTGCACTGTGTTGCTATTTGCTCTTGTTCACTCCTGCCTACCACAAAATAGGCTTGGCCTACAGATATTTGTTGACCCTCTCCTGCACACAAGTGTATGTGAAAGAAGTTGATCAAGCATCGCCTGAGGAGTGTCACAGGACAGTTTGGAGCCCTCATGCTGATGGTGGCGGAAAAAGAGATCCTACTGAAACTGGACTCTCTGGACTATCTGCATGATGGTAAGTCACATGTATTTATTGTACCGTGGCTAGACAGTGCTCTTTTCATGTTCTGGTGAAACGATGCAGAGCTGTTGTATTGTTATGTATGTTGCGTCCAGCCTTTGTATTTGTGCTGAATGTGCCTGTTAGTGGAGCGTTTCATGTCGTAGCACCCAGCGCTCTGCCGCCGCTCTCAGATGGTAAACTGTTGTCGGCATACGTTCAGCGACTGTAGCCATAGTGCATGCCGTTTGAGTGTGTGCTCTGTCTTGTACATTTCTGCATTCTGGTCAGTCTGTGTGGTTTTATGCTTTTTATGTCAACATTTGTTGAGTTTGAATATATGACCGGTTTTGCAAATGCCAGGGCTGTTTTTTGACTCCATAATCAAACTACATACTGTACTCTGTTCCAACCATGATCAGCACTTGTAGAGAGGACGCACAGCAGCACATAAGAGTTCCACATACAGAAGTTAAATAATAGGAATGGTGGCAGTAATGATAATAAAATTAATGATAGCAATAATAATAATAATAATAATAGGACTAATAATAACTGTAGCCGCAGTGTCCAGCAGGAACACGGGGGCAGCAGGAAGCATTATAATTATTACTATCATTACTTTTTAATGATATTTGCACCACTACCAAAATGACCCCTGAACTCTGCTGTATGTGTTGGACAACCTGCTGCCTGTAAGGACGTCAGAGACTGTCACTTATGGAAACTGCCAGACCAAACTTCATTAAGTTAACAAGCTGCAAAAATGTTGTTCCTGTGGTGTGTCTGGACGTGAAGGTGTTTCAGTAACAGGTTGTTCTGAGTCACTGAGCTTATTTCATGAGCAGCCTCCTTCACATGATCTCTTTGTTCCTGGGAGAAATCGTCCAACCAGTTCTCTTCTGAATGAGAGCAACACACACACACACACACACACAGTGTCTTTCTGCATTTCCTGGTAGGAGCGTGTCTGTGGTCAGTTTACACTCGGACTGCTGGAGTTTGGTTTCATTATGTAGAAACACTAACTCTTTAACTGAACTCAGGACGCCTCACTGAATCCTTTAATGTTGCTTAAAATAGAACTCTGCTTTCAAAAGTGTTGTTCTGGCCTGTTTTATGCATCTGAACTGGATTTTGTCTTCACTCTTCTGTCGTGTGAGACTGTGGTATCATTTTTTACTGTTACCTGATTAAGTAAAGGAGAATGACATCTTCCACCTGTGGTTGTTGTTTTGTTTCGTTAGTTTTGAATTTCCCCCCCAAATATTCACCTGCATTACTACAAAGCAGAGGACACACTGTGGGGCCTGAAGCTTGTAGGACCAGTTATAATCCAGCCTTGGTCTAAACTCTGTATCAGTGTGGTCTAAACTCTGTAAACCTGCCCTTAATGATGAGATGCAGATCAGGCTGAATCAGTATATTTAAACTGGATTAATCTGTTAAAAGAGTGTGGCCGTTCAGACGGACACGTAGAGACATGTGACCAGAGGAGGGAGGAGGAGGAGGAGGAGGAGGATAAAAAGCTGCAGCTCTCCTTCAGCTCAGTTCAAACGCTGAAGTTTCATCACACTGAAGTTTTCTTCCAGTCGACTGCTGAACAAGATGTTCCAACGGTGAGTTTATACTTTGACTCTTCTGATGAACTGAAATAACTGACTTTGTTAGTGAGTGTTTGACTCGAAGAGAGAGATCACAAACACATTTAGGAATGCTGAAAGTTAGAGACCTCTGAGAAACTTTAGAAGCATTGAAACTTTATCTTGTGACGTACTGGAACGGAGTCCTTGGCTGACATTGCTCTAGTGTTTAAACATTTATTGTTAATGTGAGTTAATGATCATCTAATCTGATCTCACGTCAGTCTTGTACTTCACACTTTTCAGTCTCATACTCGAGTTTCTCCGTTTTGGGACTTTTCAAAAGGAAATGTTTTCATGTTTTTCCACAGTGATATTTATCAGATTCTGATGTAAAACTACATCTCTTTGATAACGGAACCTTTCTGCTCAAGTCTTTGTTCAGGCTTTCCTCTGTTGTCTCTGCTCGCATCAGTATTCAGGCTTTGTGTGGCCTGTCTGAGTCCGGTCTGTGTAAATCCAGCAGAAGGACCTCAGTGTTTCAGCATAAAGCAGCGGTCTCCTTTTCACCCGACACTCGACTCTCAAAGTGAACCTTAAAGCTTTCCTGTCTCTGAGGGTCTGAGCTGGTTTTCCCTTTCTCTGGTTTCTCTCTATACGTTACGGGAAAGAAGAGGCGCTTTGTTTGTTTTATCCCTGCAGAGCAATCACAAAGACACACAGTCATGTAACCTGCAGGCTGAAGAGACACGCCCACCAGCCGCTCAGCACACCTGACATTCACCACTTTATGTTCACCCCGTTACATTCACCATTTTAATTCACCACATCATGTTCACCACGTCACATTCACCACTTACATTCACCATTTTAATTCACCACGTCACATTCACCACTTTACATTCACCATTTTAATTCACCACGTCATGTTCACCCCGTCATGTTCACCATGTCACGTTCACCCCGTTACATTCACCATTTTAATTCACCATGTCACGTTCACCACTTTACATTTACCATTTTAATTCACCACATCATGTTCACCACGTCACATTCACCACTTTACATTTACCATTTTAATTCACCACGTCACGTTCACCACTTTACATTCACCATTTTAATTCTCCACATCATGTTCACCACGTCACGTTCACCCCGTTACATTCACCAATGTAATTCACCACGTCACGTTCACCACTTTACATTTACCATTTTTATTCACCACGTCATGTTCACCACGTCACATTCACCACTTACATTCACCATTTTAATTCACCATGTCACATTCACCATTTTAATTCACCACGTCATGTTCACCACGTCATGTTCACCACGTCATGCTCACCACGTTACATTCACCAATTTAATTCACCACGTCTCGTTCACCACTTTACATTTACCATTTTAATTCACCACGTCACGTTCACCACTTTACATTCACCATTTTAATTCACCACGTCATGTTCACCACGTCACGTTCACCCCGTTACATTCACCAATTTAATTCACCCCGTCACGTTCACCACTTTACATTTACCATTTTAATTCACCACGTCAAGTTCACCACGTCACATTCACTTTACATTCACCATTTTAATTCACCACGTCATGTTCACCACTTTACATTCACTACTGTGCATTCACCACATAATTTTCGCCACTGTACATTCACCACTGACGTTCACCATGTCACATTCACTATGTCACGTTCTTTAGTTTACTCTTGTTGCTGGAGAGTCTCTGTTTACACGATGACAGCTTGGCTAAAAGTGTTTATTTAAGTTTATATAAGTTCATACTTTGCTGTCAGCAGCCATTTTAGATATTTGTGAATCTTTATGAAATGAAAAAAAGATTTCAGACTTTGTCTCTCTCTTCCTGTATGACATCATCATCAAGCAAACCAACATCCAAACATGCTGCAGTCAGATCATCATGTTCACTGTGTGTGTCTGTCTGTGTGTCCGTGCACTGTGTGTCTGTGTGTGTCTGTGTGTGTTACAGGTGTGGTGTTTTGCTGCTGGCGTCTCTCGCTGTCGTTTCTCTGGCGGCTCCTCTTCCAGGTCAACTATGACTTCACTTCTGAATGACCAATCATTATCATTGTTTACCTAAAATCAACTTACTTTATCTATTGGCAAAGATCAATAATCGATCAGCAATGAAAGCAAACTTTTGAGTTTTGTTGATTTGTTCATGTTGAGAGAAAATTATTTCCTAAAACACACTGTAAAAAATAGAGATGAAATAATGATCAATAGATTTGATCCAAATGAGTAAAATAGTTCACGGAACTTTGTTTTTAATCAGTTTAATATTGATTAATATAAATAACATGATATCATGATACAATTTATTATTTTTCACTTTATTATTTAATGACGTGATAAATCTTTTCAGGAGTCATTGATTTTAATGAATAATATTTATAATAATGTATTGATCAGTATGAAACATTATCTGGAAATAACATCTATTATTAACAATATGAAGATAATATATATTTATAATATTCACTATGAAACATCATTAATAAGTATTACATTTCAGGATCAGCCTTTATTCATTGATTCATTTAATGATTTAATATATAGATTTACATGTAACACATTATTGTTATGATTACATCATTAAAACAAATGGAAAATTGTATCATATTTATAACTTGAATTAATAGGATGTAAGGATCAATACGCTACTGATCACTGACATGGATTATTAATTATCTCTCTGTCTTGCAGATGGAACAACAGATGATGGTAAATATAAACTTTTTGAATTCAGAGTAAATTAAATCTGATCTTTTGACCCTGTGGAGAAGCCCCGCCTCCAGATGACATCAGATCCTGTGGGCTGTCAGCGCCCCCTGCAGGCTGATGATTTAAACACGTTTTGGTTGTGCAGTTTCAGAGAGACTCGACCCGCTGCTGGAGTATCTGGACTCTGGTAACACACACACACACACACACACACACACACACACACACATACACACATTCAAAACACACACTGACCGCTCCATGTGTTGTTGTTTATTTTGCTGTTGGTTGTTGTTATTATAGCTGGAACTACACCTGTGACCTCAGAGCCAGGTAACAACACGCTCCACGGTACATTAACAGAATACACACACTACACACTGTACCAATGATACAACACGTGTCTCCACAGATCCTGCTGACAGCACAGGCTCTGAGGAACAAACTGAAGGTAACCTGTCTGGCTGTCCTCGTTCACCTGTCTGGCTGTCCTCGTTCACATGTCTGGCTGTCCACGTTCACCTGTCTGGCTGTCCACGTTCACCTGTCTGGCTGTCCACGTTCACCTGTCTGGCTGTCCTCGTTCACCTGTCTGGCTGTCCTCGTTCACCTGTCTGGCTGTTCACGTTCACCTTCACCTGTCTGGCTGTCCACGTTCACATGTCTGGCTGTCCACGTTCACCTTTCTGGCTGTCCACGTTCACCTGTCTGGCTGTCCACGTTCACCTTCACCTTTTTGGCTGTCCACGTTCACCTGTCTGGCTGTTCACGTTCACCTTCACCTGTCTGGCTGTTCACCTTCACCTTCACCTGTCCACGTTCACCTGTCTGGCTGTCCACATTGACCTTTCTGGCTGTCCACATTGACCTTCTTGGCTTTTCACGTTCACCTGTCTGGCTGTCCACATTGACCTTTTTGGCTGTTCCTGTTCACCTGTCTGTTCACACTGACCTGTCTGTCTGTCCACGTTCACCTGTCTGTCTGTTCACATTGACCTTTTTGGCTGTTCACGTTCCCTTGTCTGTCTTTCAGCTCCCTCAGCATCAGATCAGGCGACTGGATCAACAGGTCAGTCTGTGTTTAATTGGTGAACAGAAAAATAACTTCAGATTATTGGTTCTGTGTTCTTGTCATGGTTTCTGGATATTTGCATAGTTTCATCTCAAATAGTTGTTACAGTTCATGTGTGTACCCTGGTTCAGACGGCAGACGGTGAGAGGAAGGGTTTCACACATTAGAATCTTTAGTATCTTTAAACAGCCAGGTGTGGACAAATTACAAACCAGGGGCAAGTGGGGACAGGCCCAGGGACTAGAGGAATCACGGAGCATATACTGAATACAAAGACACAGAAGACACCCACAGAGAGACAGAAAGTGAGCAATGAGACACAAAACTACTACAGAGACACAAAACAAAAGTGAGCACAGAGACACAAAACAACTACAGAGACACAAAATGAGCACAGAGACACAAAACAACTACAGAGAGACAAAACAACTACAGAGACACAAAATGAGCACAGAGACACAAAACAACCACAGAGACACAAAACAACCACAGAGACACAAAACAACAACAGAGAGACAAAACAACTACAGAGACAGAAAATGAGCACAGAGACACAAAACATCTACAGAGAGACAGAAAGGGACCGCAGTGTAGGAAAACACGGATTTGGAGCCAAAAGCAGAACACCTACGCAGAGCAGGTACATTTAGTGGTGTTTATTCTATCCGAGGGATTGCACCTCATAGTCCAGATGAGGCAGGCAGTCCGGAGAATAAATAACAGAAATACATGGTGCTCAGAAATCCAAAAGTAAATCTATAGCTCAACAGATTATTCAGGAACAGGCAGAGACACTCCACAAGAAGACCAGGGAGGAAGAAAGGACTTTACAGACACCCTCAAACACAAGCAGGCAGGCTGGTTGCACAGGTGAGAAACATCAGGCAGTCAGGACAGATACCAAGCAAAGCAAGGACACCAGAGAAAGACTACTTCAAAAAAACCCAAGGAAATACAAAAACCAAAACCCCAAACTGTGGCACACAGATAAAAACCTCAGGATAACCCGTCTCTTTATTTTCTCCTAAGGTGCTGATGACAGCCCAGACTCTGATGAACAGACTCAAGGTAACCTGTTTACCTGTATTATAGAGCACAGTCCAGACCAGAGGGGTGTACTATGAAGCAAGTTGGACACGGCCATAAAAGGGGGCATTTAATGAGTCATGTGACTCTTCTGCACAAAAGGACCAATCACCTGCGGCTTCTTCAGTCAAGAGGAACAGGTCGTTATAAAGGAGACTATTAAAAATTTATTACACCAAGAGGCAACAATGTTGCTGCAAATAAAGCTAGAGAGGAAGGCTGGCAGAAAATTGTGTAAATTTGTACGTTAATATTTATTTTACCACCCAAAAACCGATCAGTGCCTACTGTTTATTTCCAACTGACAGCTGCACATCGAGCTCTTAAAGTTTAAACTTGATGCTCAAGAAATGTATCAGACACTGTCCCTTAATGACAGCCAAGTCAAGGGAATTTAATTGATAGAAAATTCTCTGTGACAAATCCCAATAGAATAATCAGTGTTCTAATCTGTCTTCTATTAGCTGCAATAATAAGAGTGAGTGGCAGGGCGCCATGTTTACATTAAGTTATTCATGCTGATGTAGTTAGGCAAAACGAGAGACACCTCTGTAACACTGAAATCTGGCATTAAGCTCAACACACCTCGCTGACAGTCATCTCGCTTCGTAGTACCCCTCTGCCCTGAGATAACTTCTGTCATGATCTGACACTATATAAAGAAAAGTGAACTGAATTGTAAATACTTTATCAGGAGGAAGAAGACTAGCATCAGCGCTAACTGCTGTGCGTTGGTCTCTGTAGGTGGAGACAGCCTGCAGAACTCCACAGAAACTGCTGACAGCAACGACTCAGCTGAATCATCTGAAGGTGATTTTCCGCTGCCGTCAGCTTCAGTTTCCATCTTTGTCTTTAGTTTTTTTGACAATGGAACTTCTTTTCTCTGAAACAGTAAACCAAACAGCAGAGTCACACTGAGGGGGAAACTCACACAAAGAATGAGGATGTTCATTTCCCTAAAAACATACAAGGAAACATTTTTCTGTTCATCTGTGTGTTTCAGATCCTTCAGATTCAGATGAGACAACTGAAGGTCAGTGTGTCTGTTGTTTTATTTGAAATTCTTGTAGAAACAGGTTTGAAGAGGCTCTTTAAGCTTAGACAGAATTTCCCCCAAGAAAGCAGGAAGTTAAATTATTGTTAAATTTTCCACCTAAAATGTTTTTACTCCTTTTTAGTTATTATCAGGGTCTGTAACAAAAACCTGTACCACAAAACTGTTGTAATTATACAGGAAACATATTTAGTGTCCACAGAGGGACAAACAGGGAAGAACTTCCACTGATGTCAGTGTTGAGGGCTGGTCGTATAGTGGACCCAGATACAGTCACAGAGACTCAGGGTAAAGAAGAAAACAGAGATTTTGGTTATGCAGGTTCACTTACATAGATTTCATGTTGTTTTTGTGCACGTTTATCCTGATTTTAAGAAGTTTTGCACAAAACATCTGCTTAGACCACTGACCCTGATCCCTGACACCTTACTACTGCTGCTACTACTATTCCAAGATGTTCTCATCTCAGTGCATCATTAAAACGCTTTTAGACAGCGTGACAAGGTGTAATTATTTGACGCTAAAGGTACCCTTCAGCGTCCGTATGAAACGCACCGTTTGCTACATCACAGCAACACTAAGGAGGCTAACCCTACATGCTAGCACATCGGCCGTGAGCCGACAAGCATAACGTCGATGACTTAGGATTAGGCACAAAGACGCCCCAGAGCGTCTCGTACAGACACATCCAGGAGTACTTAGAAACGAACCCGTCAGATAAGTACGCTTTGTCACTTTTTCTGAAAGGGTCAGTATTGGAAGCCCTGAGATGAGAAAGGTCCGACTATTCCTACAGCTACTACTACCATTACTGCTACTGGTATTGTTGTTGCTTCTAGTACCCCCAGCTAGTAAACCAATTCTTCAAGAAGTCTTCAGTTGTTGGAAGGTACACCAATCAGCCATTACATTATGACCACATGGCTAATATATTGTGTAGGTCCCTTTCACCAACAAAACAGTCCTGACCCATCGAGGCTTAGCAGGTTGCAAGGTGGGGCCTCCATGGATCGGACTTGTTTGTCCAGCACATTTACTCATTTGGCACCTTTAGCCAAAGTGACTTGGAGGAAAAACATAGAAGAATCAATAAAGCATTAAGGCTGCAACTAATTATTATTAAATGATTATTTTCATAGTCAACTAATCTGTTAATTGTTTATTCGATTAGTCTACTAGTCGACTAGTCACAATTATTTGTGTCACCCCCTTAACCTACCCCTAACTCTAATTAAAGCATTTAACTAATTAAATATCTTTCTAGTGAACTACTGATCTCCAACACACAGACTAACTAGCTAATGTTACCATTAAAAAGGCTCCTCCTATAATTCACTTATTTATACTAACTTTAAAACTTTTCAATTCAATTTTATTTATATAGCGCCAAATCACAACAACAGTTATCTCACAGCGCTTTTCATAAAAGAGCAGGTCTAGACCGTACTCTATGATGCTATTTACAGAAGCCCAACAGTTCACTGTTTAGCTCAATATCTCACTGGAAACAAACCTGACGTGCTGACGTATTGCGGTAAGCGTGTCGACTCATTTCCGTTTCCGGTGCTTGTGTGTTGGTACCGTGTTGTGCTGCTCTCGCTAAATAACAGTTACATTTGTTAGATTACAGCGGCCAACTGTTCGCTAAACACTTATTCTTTACAGTAATTTTGCCTAAGCACTCACAGTTCTTTCCATCTTTTAGTGACTGCTGTTCAATCTCATAGTTGTTCTAAAGTTTTGGTAACTGACGCTACAGTACTTTAGCTTAGCCGTTAGCGACTTTAGCTTAGCAGCTAGCGATGGCTTCTCCTTCTCCCTCTCTCTCTCCTACTTTCTCCTGCTCGGTGTGTCAGATGTTTAGTTACTCCTCTGCCTCCTTTAGCGGTAATGGTACATGTAATAAGTGTAGTTTATTTATAGACATGGAGGCGAGGCTCAGTGAGTTAGAAGTCCGGCTCCGCACCCTGGTAGATCAGTCTTTAGCTACTGTAGCTAGCCAGTCCCCGGTAGTCGGTGCGGAACGGCCTGAGTTAGCCTCTGGTAGCCGTCCTCCGGCATCCCCTGTGCAGCCAGGAAAGGGGGGCTGGGTGACTGTCCGAAGGAGGAATAGTAAGCATTCAAAGTCCACGGGGCATCATCAACCTGTTCACGTTTCTAACAGATTTTCCCCACTCAGCGACACACCCGCTGAGAAACCAACTCTGATCATTGGCAGCTCCATTTTGAGAAACGTGAAGTTAGCGAAGCCAGCGGCCATAGTTAAGTGCATCCCTGGGGCCAGAGCGGGCGACATTGAGTCTTATTTGAAACTGCTGGCTAAGGATAAACGTAAATACAGTAAGATTGTTATTCACGTCGGCGGTAATGACTCCCGGTTACGCCAATCGGAGGTCACTAAGATTAATGTTGAGTCGGTGTGTACATATGCAAAAACAATGTCGGACACCGTAGTTTTCTCTGGACCCCTGCCAAATCTGACCAGTGATGACATGTATAGCCGTATGTCGTCATTCCGCCGCTGGTTGTCGAGGTGGTGTCCAGCAAACGATGTGGGCTTTGTTGATCATTGGCAGACTTTCTGGGGAAGACCTGGTCTGATCCGGAGAGACGGCATCCATCCCACTTGGGAAGGAGCAGCTCTCATTTCTAGAAATCTGGCCAAGTTTATTAGTGGACCAAATCCATGACAACCCAGAGTTGAGACCAGGAGGCAGAGTCGCAGTTTAACACACTTCTCTGCCCTTCTTTTTCAGCAGTTACCCACCCAAAACCCTACGCAGAGTCGCAGTCTAACACACTTCTCTGCTCCTCCATTTCAGGAGTTACTTAGTGAAAACCCTATAGTGACGGTGTCTGTCCCCCGACCATCGAAATTATTTAAAAAGGTAAACAGAAGAGGAGCTGTGCATAAAAACCTTATAAAAATTAAAACCACAAGAGCAATAGTGCAAACAAATAGGAGAGTTAAATGTGGACTCTTAAACATCAGATCTCTCTCTTCTAAAGGTGTACTAGTAAATGAACTAATATCAGATTATGATATTGATTTATTTTGTCTTACTGAAACCTGGCTGGGTGATGGAGAATATGTTAGCCTAAATGAATCCACCCCTCCCAGTCATATTAATACTCACATTCCTCGAGGCACAGGCCGAGGAGGTGGAGTTGCAGCTATCTTCGACTCTAGCCTATTAATCAGCTCTAAACCTAAACTAAACTATAACTCATTTGAAAGTCTTGTTCTTAGTCTTTCGCACCCAAGTTGGAAATCACTGCAACCAATTCTTTTTGTTATAGTGTACCGAGCACCTGGCCCGTATTCTGAATTCTTATCTGAATTTGCAGAGTTTTTGTCAACTTTAGTCCTTAAAACGGACAAAGTTATTATTGTAGGGGATTTTAATATTCATGTAGATGTTGAGAATGACAGCTTCAGTACTGCGTTTATCTCTTTGTTAGATTCCATCGGCTTCTCTCAGAGTGTTCATGAACCGACTCACTGTTTTAACCACACCCTTGACCTTGTTTTGGTGTATGGTATTGAAATTGAACATTTAGTGGTGTTCCCACAGAATCCCTCTTTATCCGACCACTGTTTGATAACTTTTGAGTTTGTATTGCTGAACTACTCGCCATTGGGCAAAAATTTCTATACAAGATGTCTGTCTGATAGTGCTATAGCTAAATTTAAGGATGCGATTCCATCAGCTCTAAATACATTATCTAGTCACAAAGTAACGGAGGACTCCTATGCTAATTTCAGTCCCTCCCAAATCGATCATCTTGTTGATAGTGCTGCTGGCTCGCTGCGAATGACACTCGACTCTGTAGCCCCTCTAAAAAAGAAAATACTAAAACAAAGACGGTTAGCTCCATGGTATAATACTGAAACTCGCAAATTAAAGCAAATATCACGGAAACTTGAGAGGAATTGGCGTTCCACCAAAGTGGAAAATTCTCGTTTAATTTGGCAAGATAGTCTTAAAACTTATAGGAAGGCCCTCCGTAATGCCAGAGCAGCGTACTACTCGTCATTAATAGAGGAAAATAGGAACAACCCCAGGTTTCTTTTCAGCACTGTAGCCAGGCTGACAGAGAGTCACAGCTCTATTGAGCCAAGTATTCCCATAGCTCTCAGTAGTTACGACTTCATGAGCTTCTTTAATGATAAAATTCTAGCTATTAGAGACAAAATTCACCAAGACCTGCCCTCAACTGGCACCGACTTATCTCTAAACTCAGGAACCTTAGAAACAGCTGTAGAACCAGATACATGTTTAGACTGTTTTGCTTCCCTCAATCTTTACCAACTAACTTCAATAATTTCTTCATCTAAACCATCAACCTGCCTCTTAGACCCCATCCCGACTAGGCTGCTTAAAGATGTTTTACCCTTAGTCAGCACCTCTATACTAGATATGATCAATCTATCTTTATCAACAGGCTATGTACCACAGTACTTTAAAGTAGCTGTAATTAAACCTCTTCTGAAAAAGCCCAAACTTGATCCGGATGTTTTATCAAACTATAGACCTATATCTAACCTTCCATTTCTCTCTAAGGTTCTGGAGAAAGCAGTTGCTAAACAGCTGTGTGACTTTCTACAGAGCAATAGTTTATTTGAGGATTTTCAGTCAGGATTTAGAGCTCATCATAGCACAGAGACAGCACTGGTGAAAATTACTAATGACCTCCTTATTGCATCAGACAAAGGACTTGTCTCTGTACTGGTTTTATTAGATCTTAGTGCTGCATTTGATACCATTGACCATCAGATCCTATTGCAGAGACTGGAATATTTCATTGGCATTAAAGGAACCGCTCTAAGCTGGTTTAAGTCCTATTTATCAGATCGATTTCAGTTTGTACATGTTAACGATGAGTCCTCCATGCACGCCAAAGTTACTCATGGAGTTCCTCAAGGATCTGTCCTTGGACCAATCCTCTTCACTTTATATATGCTTCCTTTAGGCAATATTATCAGGAAACATTCCATAAGCTTTCATTGTTATGCAGATGATACTCAGTTATATCTATCGATCAAGCCAGATGAAACTCATCAGTTAGCTAAACTTCAAATGTGCCTTCAGGATGTTAAAACCTGGATGAGCTGTAATTTTCTTATGTTAAACTCAGATAAAACTGAAGTTATTGTTCTGGGGCCTAAGCACCTCCGTGACGCATTATCTAAAGATATAGTTTCCCTGGATGGCATCGCCTTGGCCTCCAGCACCACTGTGAGGAATCTTGGAGTTATCTTTGATCAGGACATGTCGTTTAAGTCCCACATTAAGCAAATTTCAAGGACCGCCTTTTTTCACCTACGTAATATTGCGAAAATCAGGAACATCCTGTCTAAAAATGATGCAGAAAAACTAGTCCATGCATTTGTTACTTCTAGGCTGGATTACTGCAATTCCTTATTATCAGGCTGCTCGAAAAAGTCCATTAAGACTCTTCAGCTGATCCAGAATGCTGCAGCACGTGTTCTGACAGGAACCAGGAAAAGAGATCACATTTCTCCTGTTTAGCTTCTTTGCATTGGCTTCCAGTAAAATCCAGAATAGAATTTAAAATCATTCTTCTTACCTACAAAGCTCTTAATGGTCAGGCACCATCTTATCTTAAAGAGCTCATAGTACCTTACTACCCCACCAGAGCACTGCGCTCCCAGAATGCAGGGTTACTTGTGGTTCCTAGAGTCTCCAAAAGTAGACTAGGAGCCAGAGCGTTCAGCTATCAAGCTCCTCTCCTGTGGAACCAGGTTCCAGTTTGGGTTCAGGAGGCAGACACCATCTCCACATTTAAGAGTAGGCTTAAGACTTTCCTCTTTGATAAAGCTTATAGTTAGGGCTGGCTCAGGTAGTCCTGAACCATCCCTTAGTTATGCTGCTATAGGCCTAGACTGCCGGGGGATTTCCCATGATGCACTGAGCTCCTCTCTCCTCTACTTTCTCTCCCTCTGTATGCAACCTTATCCCATTATTGCATGTTACTAACACAACTTCTCCCCTTTCTGGTAGTCTTGTGCTTTCTCGTCCCTCTCCTCTCTCCTCCTATCACTTCCTGCAGGTTTTCTGGCTCTGGAGCTGTGGAGTCTGGATCTGTGGCTGCGGGTCGCCTGCTGCCCCCGTGTTCCTGCTCGACACCCTCTACTGCAGCGACTGTTGTCGCTGGTCTTATTGTTATTATAATCATTAACATTACGATGGTTACCATTAACACTATTATAAATATCTGTACCATTTTTCATTTAGTTTATAGCAACATTACCTTCGCTGTCTGTACCTCTGTGTGTATATTGTGTAGGCTGCCTCCCTCCCCTCCTCTCTCCTTACATCCCCTCTCTCTCTCTCTCTCTCTTCTCTCTCTCTCTCTCTTTCACTCTCTCTCTCTCTTTCTCTCTCTCTCTCTCTCTCACCCCAACCGGTCGAGGCAGATGGCCGCCCACCCTGAGCCATGGTTCTGCTCGAGGTTTCTGCCTCTTAAAAGGAAGTTTTTCCTTGCCTCTGTCGCCTAGTGCTTGCTCTTGGTGGGAACTGTTGGGCTTCTGTAAATATCATCACAGAGTACGGTCTAGACCTGCTCTTTTATGAAAAGCGCTGTGAGATAACTGTTGTTGTGATTTGGCGCTATATAAATAAAATTGAATTGAATTGAATTGAATTCCCACCAAGAGCAGCACTAGGAGACAGAGGCAAGGAAAAACTTCCTTTAAGAGGCAGAAACCTCAAGAAGAACCATGGCTCAGGGTGGGCGGCCATCTGCCTCCACCGGTTGGGGGTGAAGGAGAGAGAGCGGGAGAGAGAGCGAGGGGGAGAGAGAGTGAGGCAGCCTACACAATATCCACACACAGAGGTACAGACAGTAAAGGTGATGTTGCTATAGACTAAATGAAAAATGGTACAGATATTTATAGTAGTGGGTTAGGGTTAGACCCGCAACCACAGATCCAGACTCCACAGCTCCAGAGCCAGAAACACCAGCAGGAAGTGATAGGAAGAGAGAGGAGAGGGACGAGAAAGCACAAGACTACCGGAAAGGGGAGAAGTTGAGTTAGTAACATGCAATAATGGGATGAGGTTGCATACAGAGGGAGAGAAAGTAGAGGGGAGAGGAGCTCAGTGCATTATGGGAAATCCCCCGGCAGTCTAGGCCTATAGCAGCATAACTAAGGGATGGTTCAGGACTCACCTGAGCCAGCCCTAACTATAAGCTTAAGACAGGAAAGAGGAAAGTCTTAAGCCTACTCTTAAATGTGGAGATGGTGTCTGCCTCCTGAACCCAAACTGGAACCTGGTTCCACAGGAGAGGAGCTTGATAGCTGAACGCTCTGGCTCCTAGTCTACTTTTGGAGACTCTAGGAACCACAAGTAACCCTGCATTCTGGGAGCGCAGTGCTCTGGTGGGGTAGTAAGGTACTATGAGCTCTTTAAGATAAGATGGTACCTGACCATTGAGAGCTTTGTAGGTAAGAAGAATGATTTTAAATTCTATTCTGGATTTTACCGGAAGCCAAACAAAGAAGCTAAAACAGGAGAAATGTGATCTCTTTTCCTGGTTCCTGTCAGAACACGTGCTGCAGCATTCTGGATCAGCTGAAGAGTCTTAATGGACTTTTTCGAGCAGCCTGATAATAAGGAATTGCAGTAATCCAGCCTAGAAGTAACAAATGCATGGACTAGTTTTTCTGCATCATTTTTAGACAGGATGTTCCTGATTTTCGCAATATTACGTAGGTGAAAAAAGGCGGTCCTTGAAATTTGCTTAATGTGAGACTTAAACGACATGTCCTGATCAAAGATAACTCCAAGATCCCCACAGTGGTGCTGGAGGCCAGGGTGATGCCATCAAGGGAAACTATATCTTTATATAATGCCGAAGTCACCGAAGTGCTTGGGCCCCAGAACAATAACTTAAGTTTAACATTAGAAAATCACAGGTCATCCAGGTTTTAACATCCTGAAGACGCATTTGGAGTTTAGCTAACTGATGAGTTTCATCTGGCTTGATCAATAGATATAATTGAGTATCATCTGCATAACAATGAAAGTTTATGTAGTGTTTCCTGATAATATTGCCTAAAGGAGGCATATATAAAGTGAACAGGATTGGTCCAAGCACCGATCCTTGTGGAACTCCAATTTTTAACTTTTTAACAAATAATTTTGCTTTGGAACTACATAAAATAAAAGCAAATTAAAAGCAAGTACTCTAACCACAACTGTACACTAACAATTAAAACAATATATAAATATAAATATTTAGAATAATAAAGCAACAGTCCCCTTTGCAACAGTGCTTATAAGTTTTAGACTATGACTTACTGGAGAATGTTTTGTAGGCTACATCACGAGCCAGATGTTTCTTAATTTACTTTAAAATGTTAAACCATTACTCAGATTGTAATGACAGAATAACAGCGGTACGAACATTGAAATGATCTTATAAGTTGTGGCCTTTCCTCTGTCGCTGCTGCTCTGTTGTTTCTGAGTATCTGGAACCAGGGCTAACCTCGTGGGCGCTTGTGGAGCTTCTCAACCCCCAAAAATGTTCGAACACATTTTTGATTCGCCATCAACTTTGGTAAAACTGTCAATATTCAAATTCTCCGCTCAAAAGTGTATTTAGTGATGAAATAGCATTCTAAACTTGTAAAAACAAAAAAAATGTTGACATCATCGATTACGTTGACTAATCATTGCAGCCCTATAAAGCATCAATACAGTAAGAGATCTACGAGTGTCCTCTTCTCACTGCTGCTCCACAGGGGGGCCCCAAGGCTCGGTGGTAGGGCCCCTTCTCTTCTCACTTGAAACCATCTCACTGGAGCTGATCGTTGGCTCGCATGGCTTCTCTTAACACTGTTACGCTGACGATACACAACTCTACCTATTCTTCCTTCCTGACGACCCCACCGCGCAGATCATGGACTGTCTCTCTGACATATCTGCATGGATGAAATCCTCGCCACCTTCAACTAAACCTCTCTAAGACTGAACTCTTGGTCATTCCAGCCAAGCAATCTATCCACCATAACATCAAACTACCAACTGGCTGATCAACCATCACTCCAACCAGGGTGGCGAGAAACTTGGGTGTCATGACTGATGACCAGCTGTCCTTTTCAGACCATGTTGCTGCTGGTCTCTCGGTCGTGCCGCTTTGCTCTACACAACATAAGAAAAATCAGGCCCTACCTTAGTCAGTAGTCCACCCAGCTCCTGGTACAGGCCATGGTTATCTCTCTGCCCTCCTAGCAGGTCTTCCAGCTGAGGTGAAACCCCTACAAATGGTTCAGAACTCAGCAGCCCATCTGGTTTCTGGTTAGCCCAAAAGGACTCATGTCCCTCCATTACTCAATGAAATCCAAGTCTCTAATGCTGCATACAGAGTGACTACTGGGTCTGCACCATCTACCTAAACTCCATAATACAAGCTTAGGTTCCTTCTGGGCCACTACGCTCCTCCAATGAACGCCGCCTGGCTCTGCCATCCCTCCACACAAAGCAATCTCCGTCAATCTCCGTGTTAACCAGGTAATCAGGGTAATTCACTTCACCTGTCAGTGGTCACAATGTTATGGCTGATCGGTGTATATATACACACACTGTAACCTTAGATGGAACTATGCTAGCAGGCTCCCCCTCCCTCTAGACTTTATGCAAAGCTAGGCTAAGCACATCCATTAATAATAACTTTATTATTAGTAGTTTGATCAAACAGAGGGGTGTTTGGTTTTCTGTGTATAAACTCTGTCTTACAACCAGGTATCTTTATTCAGGCAGCAAAGTCTGAATATTTTCAACATCAGCCATTAATGTTACTCTGCAGCCACAGTAGCAATACATCGACTGGCCCGTTGATGCATGTGTGATCAATAACTTGGACGTATTTGGATAAAGACAGACCACAGATTTACCAGACATATGATAAATAATTGTGTGTATCTTTAATCCTCAGATAATGAGGACGCTGCAGATGGTGTAGAAAGTGACGACAACACTGACGACGACTCAACCGAAAACACTGATTCTGACTCTGAGACTGACTCTGAGGCTGAAGCTGAGAAGACCGAAACTGACTCTGACTCTGACTCTGACTCTGAGGCTGAAACTGAGAAGACCGAGACAGACTCTGACTCTGACTCTGAGGCTGAAACTGAGAAGACCGAGACAGACTCTGACTCTGAGACAGACTCTGACTCTGAGACAGACTCTGAGACTGAAGTTAAGAAGACTGAGACAGACTCTGACTCTGACTCCGGCTCTGACTCTGAGGCTGAAGCTGAGAAGACCGAAACAGACTCTGACTCTGAGGTCACCACGGCTGATGAGGATGACAGCAAGGCCTCAGAAGACTCAGAGGAGGGAGGGGAAGCAGGGAGTGAGGAACCAGTGGGGAGGGATGAGGGAGATGAAATAAATGACAGGGAAATGTCAGAGGAGGTGAAACAAGCAGGACATGAGGAGGAGGTGATCTCAGAGGATGACAACAGTGAAGGGAATGACGACAGTGCTATCAAGGATGAAGATGAGGACGTCGAAACCCAGACCGACAGTGACACGAGTGAGACCGACAGTGACACTAATGAGACCGACAGTGACACGAGTCAGATCAATAATGACAATGAAGCTGAGCCTGACAATCAGGACAGCAGTGACATGCTGGAGTCTGATGTCACTGAGGAGAAAGAGGAGGTGAACCAGGATGACTCTGAAAAGTCAGATACCAAGGAACCTGAGCAGCAGAGTCCAGAAACTCCAGACTCCACTGAAGGTAAACTGAGACTGATGACTGACCACCAGTGGTTCACACGTTCTTTATGTTCCAAACATTCAGAGTCCATGTGTTCCTTATTTTTATAAAAGAAGAATTCAGATGCCAAAGGGTCTAGATGCAGTTTTCAGGAGTTGATGTAAAGAATGTAGGATGGACAAACAAACAATTCAGTTAAGAATTTGAAGTACTGAACACTATGAATCATCAAGAGACATGCAAAAGTTAGTTTGAAGCCTTCCAACAAAACAAAGGTTTCCTGAGAGAGTGACATCACACAGGTGTGGCCTCACTTAGTGTTAATGAGCCTCCATCTTGTTTCTTTGTTGCAGTCACACCAGCTGACAAACCAGACCAATCTGATGACTCCACCCTTGCCACCACAAAGGGTAAAGGACATCACACTGCCCCACAGCCAATTCAATTCTGCCCCTTCAAGTTATCTCATTGCACTCTTCATATAGAGCAGGCCTAGACTGTACTCGTTATAGTAATATTTACTGGGGATGAGCGAGTACAGCATTATCTGTATCTGTTCAACCAACTAATTTATCACTTCAGAAGAGAAAGTGGACCTTTTTAAATCTCTGTTTTCTTCTTTTAGCCATGAATTAAATGCTGTGCCTCTGACCTGTGGAAGCTCAGCGACTCCAGGTATCATCATTCACCGTGTCTCTACTGATGGAATGAGTCAGGTCCCAGTGCAGCTGAACACACCTCTAACTGCTGTGCCCAAACTACTGCACATTCACACTGCACCAAAAAACAAACGTTTCAACCTGTGCTGCATTCAGGGACAAATGGAAAGAAAGACCCTGCTCACTGTTCACCAATAGTCAGAGACCCACAACAGAGAAGAAATGAATATATGATGTCACATAGGGACTAAAAATCACACGTTTGTCTGACTGAATTTTTCAATCATTCAGTCACTTAATTGATCAGTTCTCTTGTGATGTGATGTTCTTAAGATTTTGCATCACAACATAGATATGTTACTAAAGACGACACACTGCAGAATCTAATGATATTTACATGATCATCAGCCGAGTCACCGAGTAAATGAGTGCTTTTGTGTTTTTTTTCCCGTCAGAGCCAACCCCGTGGTGGAATACTGTTGCCATGACAACAACAACAACAAGCTAAACTGCAACTAAACTTCAATGTTCAATTTCCTGTTTGTTTTCGTTCCTCAGCTTGTTCCTGATTGGTCGTCCCCATTTTCTTTAAACTCTGGCCGTTGTAGTTTTCCAACAATCGACTGTCTGTGTGTCTGTCATGCGTCTCACCCTCTGCCTTCAGTCTAATGCTGAAACATTAAAACAGCTGCTGATCTCAGATCTGCTCTGTGTGTTAAAATGTACATACAGTCATCATTTACTTTCCAACCATCAAGACTTGTTTGTTTGTTCACAGAGGAACTGCTAATAAAGTTTGAACTGTCAGAAACTTTTCTCACTGCACGCTGAGTCTCCGAGTCTTTAATTACACTAATTATTGATCTGTAACCATACACTATGATTTTTATTTTTGACATATATTTTATTGTCATTTGTTTTTGAATAGCTGAGACCTAACCATTAGTCGATAAGAAGAGTCTTAGGCGACCAAGCTTCCATTGGTCAGTTAGTTGCAGAAAAAAAACCAACACCCTCAAACTCCAATCTGGGGCCCACAGCCTCCACAGATCCAGACTCCACAGCTCCAGACCCCAGAGCCTCCACAGCTCCAGAGCCAGAAACATCTGCAGGAAGTGATAGGAGGAGAGAGGAGAGGGACGAGAAAGCACAAGACTACCAGAAAGGGGAGAAGTTGTGTTAGTAACATGCAATAATGGGATGAGGTTGCATACAGAGGGAGAGAAAGTAGAGGAGAGAGGAGCTCAGTGCATCATGGGAAATCCCCCGGCAGTCTAGGCCTATAGCAGCATAACTAAGGGATGGTTCAGGACTCACCTGAGCCAGCCCTAACTATAAGCTTTATCAAAGAGGAAAGTCTTAAGCCTACTCTTAAATGTCTAAGGGGTTTATGACCTTTTCAATCTCAAACGAGTCGACAAAAATGAGGCGCCAACTTATGCGACTCCACTTGTAGAGGGAAATCCCTGGAGGACAACCACACCTTCTGACCAGGCTGGTATGAGGCAGCAGAACATGGTGCCAGTCAGCCAGGCGTCGGATTGCGAGCCACATTATGGATAAGGGTAGACTGGGCCTCTCTTCAAACCCATTGCCTGCACCAAAGGAACTGCTACTACTACTTTAGCAGGCTAGGTTGAAAACCCAGGAAGACCATGAATGTTGTCATACCTGCGGAAGAGCTGGTGAGGGAGTTGGGAGCATTCTCCATCCAGGGCAACTGTTTGCTACAGGAGGAGGGGTGATGATCTGAAACTCAGAGCAGAGCCGTCTTCAGGTCCTGGGTGGCCTGTTCCGTCTGCCCATTGGTCTTCGGATGGGACCCAGAAGAGAGACATGAGGTGGCACCCGAAGCCAAACAAAAAGTCTTCAACACTTGTGATGAGAACTGCAGATGCCAATCGGACTTGCAGAGTTACTGCCCAGGCAGTGAAGGCAACTTAAGGAGAGGGACCAAACTCACAGCCTTAGATAATCGTCCACAAAGGTCAGTAAAGGTGTTTTACAACAATACATAGGCTAAGCAGCAACAATAAAACTGTAAAATAGTTAAGTAACGAACATAACAATAAAGGTAATAAGTCACTAAAACTGAGGCATTTATGGCTGTTAAAAGGTACACCATTGTACACATTAAACAGCTATCAGCGAAACAAAGACCTGAAATGCACCTTTAGTTTTCAGACGCAAACACGGAACAACTGGTTGGCCTTAGTTTGAGGACCTAAGTGACCTACTGGTGGTATATGGGTAGAACAGGTCCGAGATGTACCCGGGTGACTGACTATACAGGGCTCTGCATGTCAAAGGGAACATTTTGAACTGAATCCTGAACTTGACAGGGAGCCAATTTAATGAAGACAGGACTGGTGTTGTGTGACTAGGTCAGCTGGACCTGGTCAACAGCCTTGCAGCATTTTGGACCATTTGTAGATGGATCAGGGACGACTTGCTGAGGCAGGTGAAAAGGGAGTTACAGTAATATAACCAGGGGGGAAATTAATGCATGAATTGTCATCTCAAGTTCCGGTTTTCAGGGAACAGGTTTGAGCTTGACAATGTTTCTGAAATGAAAGAAACATGAACAAGTCACAGATTTCAGCCATCCAGTCCTCAGTGCGGTCAGATTGTCATAGTCATCAGGCCAAAAAGAGACTGGTTATCATTAGCATATGAGTGATAAGAAATGCCTTTAAATTAAAAAAATTTAAAACGCATTTAACATCACTGCAGCACATTTAACAACACTGCAGCACATTTAACAACACTGCAACACATTTAACATCACTGCAACACATTTAACATCACTGCAACGCATTTAACAACACTGCAACGCATTTAACAACACTGCAACACATTTAACATCACTGCAACGCATTTAACATCACTGCAACACATTTAACATCACTGCAGCACATTTAACAACACTGCAGCACATTTAACATCACTGCAACACATTTAACATCACTGCAGCACATTTAACAACACTGCAACACATTTAACATCACTGCAACGCATTTAACAACACTGCAACGCATTTAACAACACTGCAACGCATTTAACATCACTGCAGCACATTTAACAACACTGCGACACATTTAACAACACTGCAGCACATTTAACAACACTGCAACACATTTAACATCACTGCAACGCATTTAACATCACTGCAACACATTTAACAACACTGCAACGCATTTAACAACACTGCAACGCATTTAACATCACTGCAACGCATTTAACAACACTGCAACGCATTTAACAACACTGCAACGCATTTAACATCACTGCAGCACATTTAACAACACTGCGACACATTTAACAACACTGCAGCACATTTAACAACACTGCAACGCATTTAACATCACTGCAACGCATTTAACATCACTGCAACACATTTAACAACACTGCAGCACATTTAACAACACTGCAGCACATTTAACAACACTGCAACACATTTAACATCACTGCAACGCATTTAACATCACTGCAGCACATTTAACAACACTGCAGCACATTTAACATCACTGCAGCACATTTAACAACACTGCAGCACATTTAACAACACTGCAGCACATTTAACAACACTGCAGCACATTTAACATCACTGCAACACATTTAACATCACTGCAACACATTTAACATCACTGCAACACATTTAACAACACTGCAACACATTTAACATCACTGCAACACATTTAACAACACTGCAGCACATTTAACAACACTGCAGCACATTTAACATCACTGCAACACATTTAACAACACTGCAGCACATTTAACATCACTGCAGCACATTATGTTTCTTGGTGTTTTGATTTTGGTGTCTCTGTGTCTGGGTTTCAGTCCTGTCTGTCTGTGGTCTTGTATCCAGTCTTCTGCTTTTGTGTGGTGGTTCTGATCTGTCCTGTTATCTCGGTGTCTGCCTTAGCTTCTGTCTGTGTTCCTTGTTGGTGTTAGTTCATTTGTGATCTGTCCGCTTGTTTATATTACTCTGATGTTTAGTGTTAAGTAACTTGTGTTTTGTCTTTTCCCCCCTCAGTAATCTGCCTGCCTGCTAGTCTCTGTTTTCCCTTCTGTCTCTCTGCCTCGTTAGTCCTGATCCCTGTCACCTGTGTTGCTCCCGCCCTGCTCGTTAGTCACTGTGTATAAATGTCTGGTGTTTCTGTTCATTCCCTGTCCGGTCATTGTTGCCTGTCCCGTCCCGTCCCGTCCCGTCCCGTCCCGTCCCGTCCCGTCCCATCCCTACCTTTTGGATGTACTAGTTCCTGTACTCGTGAGTTCTGTTCATACCTGTTTGTCGTGCTTGGGATAAATAAACCCCGGACTCAACATCAGCTCACAGTGTCTTGCATTTGGGCTTACTCCAGCAAACGCTGACACCTACAGAACAATTTCCTTTTGTCATTGATTGGCCAGATCGTGCCATGATGTATAGGCCCAGTGCAAACATCATATAAGAACATTTAGGCCTAAACATCAATTTTGATATCATGGGAATGGGATATTTTATAGCCAAATTTTATGTTTCTGTAAAAATTCACTGAGCAGACCATGCATCTTTGATACTCTCATCTTTATTTGCGTTTTTGGTATTGACGTATTCCAAAAGTAACTAAAAGTAATCAATTACATTATACATATTACACATTTCTAGATTGTTTTCTGTGGGTTACAGATATTAAAGTCCAATAAAATCTTCCGTAGAGATCAAGCTAGCCGCTAAATTTGGAGTGCACATGTATTAGTACCTTTATGGTAAATTCAGTTAAAAGGAGCAGAGCGAGCTGACAGCCAGGTTAGCAACTTTATTCTGCCATTTTCTCACTTTGTAACAAGTCGTACAGTGTGAGAGGCCTACCTGAAGAGAGGCTATTAAGTCTTAATTGTATGCAATACAATATAATAACAACATATGATATAATTTACCAAATTGTGTTGGACTTAGTAAATGTTGCACGAGGATGGAAGATACAGTTAAACTACACAAAATAAGGTGCAACGTACACAGGATGGAAATAAGATTAATGGGACTATATTCACAGGAAGTATAAAACATTTTACATGTGTCCACTAAAAGTCAAATAAAATGTTGGGAAATGATTTAAAAATGATTCTTTGATTTATGGTTGCTGGAAACACATTAAATAAATTCTTTGTTTCCTCACCATTAATATCTATGCAGTGTGTTTATGATCAGCTGTTTACTAGGGGGACCTGTGGGAAACACTGCCCTTACTGTCTGATGTGTGATTAAAATCGGTGGGGAGGAAGGAGGGCAAGGCCTCAATGAAGCAGCCCCGCCCACCAACGCCCCGCAGCCTGCCTACCCTCAGAGTACCATGGGTGTATTTAACAAGACATAACCGGAGGGTAGAGGTGGAAAAGGTCAAAGGGAGGCTAGGCAAGATTAGTCCTCCTCACTGGTGCCCTTGCATTCACCCCCGTACCCCACTAGATGCACCCAGCCCCTAGGAAACGTTGGTAAAGAAGATCCGGATCCTGGCCCTAACGATCGTTTTTTTCGTAGGCTAATATAAGACAGTATCACAACACCTGCACATGTCTGCTGCGGGTTATAACCAAGGAAGTGAGTTTGCTGATTCGTGGTGGTTTATTTTTCCATAAAAATGTAGAGATGTTTGAGTTAAACCAGACAGCGGAGGGTTGGGTGGGTAACACTGGTGGCCATCACCACTACCTTCAGTAACCCACTGCTCTCAGTATCCTAAATGTCACTACTATCCTGACTGGTTTTGGTAGGGGACACGTTGAATCTATTTTGTGGAACTGCATCAGGGTCAGGATAGGCCCATGTAAAAGGC